ACAAGTGGCCCTTTGAGGGCCACCATAACGCTCATGTGGCCCTCGGTGAAAATGAGTTTGACAGCCCTGATGTAGATGAACAGAATGCGAAGTGACACTGACTGCAAACGTGATTTGTACAAGAAAGCTGCCTGTCAGTCTGTGGACACACTCTGCTCAAACTCAGACGACTGACAGATTGATCAGTCAGTAACCAGGTGCCTTACAGTTGCACCTGCAGCTTGTTTGAGAGCACAGCTATGTCTCTGAAAGCATGAGCTGCAGCCTCACCTACAGTTTACATTTCAATAAATCTGACTTTTAGATATCTTCTGGGAGTGGTCTGTAAAATGGAATCATTTCGGTAAATAGATCAGGACAGTAAAGCTGAACTGGCAACTAAATGATAAAAAGTTTTCTATTTATTGATGATAGTTTCAAAGATTTAAATGTGTAGTATCTGCAACACGATCATTATTACATGTGTATTGATCAGGATAAACAAAAACACTGGTTTGTGATGGTTGCTCACAAGCAGAGGTTTTCCAATGATCTACTCAACACGCAACAGCTAAAATTATACTTACAAATCATCCATCAAGCTAATTTAATTTAACAGCCACGTCCCACTCCATGTTATCACTTCCCAGTGCTGAATGTGCTGCTTGCAGGGGACAGATTGACTAAGTGCATCATGGATTCTTGGTTGAGGATATTTTTTTCCAACATTCGCTGGAGGAGAGTTTGCTGTGTTAGGGTTAGGGTTAGCTGCCCTGTACTGTCTTCCACCTTTGTTCCCATAAGTGCACTTGATAGGAAAGTGCATCATACACAAAATGCCATTCTCACATGGCACAAAGTGACAAACAACAATTATTAATTATTAATTGTTTTTCCTGATTAATTGCACACAGTGCGATTTTGCCCGGCCCCACAGGGCACAGTTGATGCAGCTCCATGTCCTGGGCAGGGGAGGAGCTGAACGATGCCTGGGCTCTGTATTGTCTCCTCTGGCTGCCATGCGTATTGACTGAGGCTTGGTGTGCCGCTGTCCGAGGTGCTGACTCCCAGAGACCCATTCATTTCTCATAAGCTCATTCAGAAGATGGCCCGTACCGTTACTGACGGGTGTTCTGACCCCCTCGGCTCATTGGCGGTGTCTCAATTCATGGGCTGCATCCTCATGAGTGCACAATTGTTGGACGCATACGTCACTGCCCCGCGCCGAGTACTGTCTCAGTTTGAAGGCTCAAATTAGGGCTGGGCGATATGGCCCGAATTCGATTTTTGATGTTAATCGATTTTGCTTCCCACTTAACAGAGTGCCTCTGTTAAAGGTGTCAAAACAAATTTGTTGTATTCCTGCTTTTTGTAGCAAGAGTCTTTAAACAGATTTAGCAGTGAGGTGTTTGTTGCTCCAAGTCTGAGGTTGCAAAACCTAACCAGTTCCAGAAAACTGAAGAAACACTGCCTTTTTTTGGGAAGTTGATCCTCTTTGCTAGCTGCCATATTGTCATGTTGTGTACCAAGCATCTTGAGGGACAGATGGGATGACCTCTGAACTACAGAAGCCCCAAAGAGTGCACTGGTGGGAAAAAAAATCTCGATTTTCCAAAAATTTAGTCTTTATAAATGGAAAATTCGAATTAATCAGTTAAATTGATTTAGCGCCCAGCCCTAGCTCAAATGTCCGTCCGTCTGTTTTCTTGCTCTTATCCGGGGTCGGGTTGCAGGGGCAGCAGCCTAAGCAGAGAGATCCAGACTTCCCTCTCCCCAGCCACTTGGGCCAGCTCCTCTGGGGGAATCCCAAGGCGTTTCCAGGCCAGCTGAGAAACATAGTCCCTCCAGCGTGTCCTGGGTCTAGGGTTGGGCAATATTGGCAAAAAAATTTATCACGTTTAATTGTGGTATTTAGCCGATAACGATTAATTTGACGATTAATCCCCTGTAGTCCCTGGACACCTTTTATGTCCTAGTCACATGACCAATTTAGTGGGAAAGATTTGCTCTTCATAAAAATCTGTTCCAAATTGTGTCAAAATTACAGACTTCAGGCAACACATCAAATTTTAAATTGTGTTGATAGATAAATAAATTACAGATCTTTTTTTTTTAATGTTCATCATATTTGAGGCGGAGAGGAGCACTGAGCGGACTCTGTCTGGTGGCATTAATCATCAAATGCCAAAAAATAATCAATTCATATTTTTCTGACGATTAATTGCACACGATACGATTATGCCCAACCCTACCTGGCTCTTCCCCTGGGCCTCCTCCCAGTGGGACATGCCCGAAGCACAACCTGAAGAGAAGACGTGGGTCCCCCTTCCTATGGGTTCACCACCTGTGAGGCTCAAATGTGGCCCACAAAATCTTGAAAATCAAGGATGCACCAGAGTATCCTTCCCAGCTGAGGGTATCCCAGGATTCAATGTGCCGACAGCAAGCAAAACAGAGAAACAAAGACGGTGGAGTTTTAATATTTTTTTAACCAAGTCAACGTAGTTTGGAAATTAATCACTGACCAAATAATTTGTCTTTAAATTCATTTTAGCAACTTAGCTGATGAAATTCATGCTGCAGTGATAAATGGTAAATGGACTGTACTTATAAAGCACCTTTCTATCCATCCAGGACACACTCAAAGCTCTTCACACTACAATTTGTGTCCTCATTCACCCGTTCACACAGCACTCTATTAGGTCTCTACAAAGCTAACATGTATAATCAACTATAGAGACTAATCAGTGCCAATCACATTCATACACTGATGACACGACACATCACATCAGAGGCATTGGGGTGAAGTGTCTTGCCCAAGGACACAAACGGCATGTGGGCATGGCTGGGAGTCGAACCTGTGACTTGCAGGTCCCAAAGCCAGCTACTCTACCACTACACCACAGCCGCTGCAATGAGATGTTAAATAAAATGCAAATACAAGTACTGATTATGGAGCAACCTAAATTATTAATGTGTTAGTTATTCATTTATTTACTTACTTACTTACTTACATATAACATTTCAATTGTGAAGTTATTCTTCCAGTGAAAATACCTGAATACATGTCCCAACACATTTTAAGTCTGATATGAAACCAATCATTATGGTAACAAGGTAGCTCATAGTCATGTAAACATATGTCCAGTGAAGGCTAGATCATGTCATTTCACAGCAGTTTCATGTAACCTACCCAGCCTGGGAAGGATGTGGCCCAGCTGGGCTACACACTCATGAGGATGCAGCAGTGAATTGAGACACAGCTGTTCAGAAGACTTGTGGAAGTGAAGTAGCGGGACAGAAATGCCCAAGTCTGTCACACCTTTGAACCTCCAAGCCAGGTGGTGACAGGCATGGTACAGCTGACTCCTGAGAAGGTGGGCCGCTTTAAGCCGGGTTTATAGTTGACAAAGCCGGGCACGGGGGTGTGCGTGCCAGTAGTGATGCAGTTGATCTGTCCCAGCCCCTGCACGGTGCCCCGGCCGTGGCCGTGCACCTCTGAAATTTGTAACTCTGCACCATTCAGCTTCACATTTCTTGTCTGTCAAGCTTAAAACATTTTCACAAGTTATAAAGTTTACTGCCACATGTTCTTTTGGAGAATACTACAACAACATAGTGACAAGAATAAACACCTACAACACTGGTGAGAGCGCGATTTTAAGAGAGCCTTTAGTTCTGACTGACACCTTTGGGAACTAACCAGCTGGTTTCTTGAATCAAACAGCAGAATACTGTTTGTTTGTTTGATTTTCTAAACACACGAGTTCCACTTCATATACTATACATGCAGAGGAGGAAATAAACAAACTTTACTGGAACAAATACCAGCTAAAATTACACAGCAGCAGAGATAGGCTAAGCCGTGGGTTTCTTAAAGGGATCCCTGATTAGTTGTAACATTAGACTTTATTTCATAAACATATATTTTAACTTTAAAATAAAGACTGTAAAAATACTATAGGCTGTTTAGTTTTGTAAATTTTTAAAAATATATTTTAACACGGACGGAGCTATTTTATTTACACGCAAAGCATTCTGGGTAAATAATAATGTCAACTAGGTCATTGGTGCGAGGCTGCTAGCGAGCTATATCCACCCTGAAGGTTAATCTTGGACAATATCTGATGATCGACTCTTTTAAATGAAACCAGAGAGCGTTGACAGAGTGGAGAAGGTAGAATAACTCTCTAACTGAAAATATGGATGGAGGACAACAGAGCTGCTTCATGGAAGAAGAACCTCAGCTTAGCCTGTTAGCCTTTGTACTAGCGCCAACGCTATATTGCCTTATATGTATTAGCTCGGTGCTAGCGTGACAAACAAGCTAAACTGAGGTCCTCATCCATATTTTCCATTACAGGCTGTCATTTCTACCTTCTCCTCTCTGTCAACGTTCTCTGGTTTCATTTAAAAGAGTCGATCGTCAGATATTGTCCAAGATTAACCTTCAGGGTGGATATAGCTCGCTAGCAGCCTTGCACCGATGACCTAGTTGATGTCATCAATTACCCAGAATGCTTTGCGTGTAAATAAAATGGCCCCGTCCGTGTAATATATTTTTAAACTTTTAGTTTAAAAATTATAAAAACTGAACATCCTACAGTATTTTTACAGTCTTTATTTTACAGTTGAAGTACATGTTTATCATATAAAGTCTAGTGTTACAACTAGTCGGGGATCCCTTTAATGAGGAGTGGACCAAAATAGCCATGGGCTGGTTTAGAAGTTTCAGAGAGGGTTTCAGTCATTGTCTAAAAAGGTTGTGCAACAAAATAATAATTTGATATCCTATTTTCAAGGCCAGTAACCACTTTTTTTTCATGATGAAAGGCTACAAACAGATTTATCTGTGTCTGTGTGCATCAGGATCACATTCAAACCTGTTAAATTCTGCTGTGTTCCTCAAGGAGCTGAACCGGCGTCTGAGAGCATCAGTCGAGGCGTTCTTCTCCCACCTGTGTGAGGTGGTGCAGCCCTGTCTGTCAGGAGGAGAGCTCACTGGCGGCAAGGCTCAGATATTCCTGACCCGACAGGATAATGGGAACATCAACGTGAGGCTGAAGAGCGAGCTGGCTGAGCTGCCTTTCTACTGGGAGTTCCGCTGCAGCCCTGCCCCCGTTGCTTTGGTACATTTCACGTGTTGTAGCGGTAGGTTTGAGGAGACAAGTTTGTTTCTAAATCCATCCATGTGTCTCAGGCGTGTGCTCAGCTGGTGCGCCCCCTGCTGGTGATAAGCCGCATGCTGCAGCAGCAGGTGAAGCAGCTGGGAGGTCTGCTGGTCAGGAAGGATGCCGAGATTCAGGACTACAGAGAGAACGGAGCCACACTCAGCAGAGGTACTCAGAGAAAGTATTATATACTTGACCAAGTGTACCGTGAAATGCTTATGGTTATCTGTTTAAGTAATGATTCAGACGTGTGTGTTTGAACCCAGAGCGCCTGCAGACGGAGGTTTTTGAGGAGTCCACCTACAGAGAGCATTTCATGGCAACGGTAAGAGCTTAAATACACACACCTGAACACACAAACTGGTTCCACTGTTGTTCTCTTGAGTGGGAAAACTGTTGCACACTCTTGCTGTGTGGCTCTTGATGCTGCAGAAACTCCTGCCGTCAGGCAGAAGGTAAGACAAAACCTGAGAGGTGTGGGAGGGGTCCTTGGTGAATATAACCAGAGTGTGAGTGCAACCAGGGTCATTTTTCCAGTTATGTTACTGAACCCACCAGAGTTGTAAAGTAACTGTACAAATACTTTGTTACTGTACTTAAGTATAATTTTTGGGTATCTTTACTCTACTGAAGTAATTATTTTTCAGCCTTATTTTTACTTCTACTTCTTAAATTTTCACACAATTATCTGTACTTTCCACTCCTTACATTTTTAAAAAAAGGCAAGCAGTAGAAAGTCGTTGCTTTTATTTCATTTTTGCTTGTTTTCATTCCAGCTTGTTATTGTGAGAAAATAAATACTATCCATATAAATTGTGCCTCCTAGATAAAGTGAACTTAATTGTGGTTGAATGAGAAGTATAAATATATAAAACTCTGATACCGTATTAGTTTGTACACAAAAAATCATGTCACACTCCAGCAGGACATAATCATTAAAAATAAAGGACTGTACTTAAGAAATATTTGTTTTTCATGAATTATATTATTGCATTTGGCTGCAGCCCTCAGATAGATTTTCGTTTTGGAGAAAAGCTTTGTGCAGCCTTGATTTATGT